CATTGGGGCTTTGGTGCTCACTGAGTCTGCCCCCTGAGTGTGTCCCTTATGGATCTGAGGAGTTGTAATTGGATGGTCCCACTCTGACCACTGGGTACACTGGCTCTTGGATCTGTAAGGAGGTGCTAAGTTATCCTTTTCCTGAGGCTACCAGCAGGAGCTATGGAGAGATCTGCAATTCCTCTTCTTCTTATGGGGTTTGGAGGTGCCCAGATGAGGCCCAGCTGTGAAGCAATGCAAGCTACTGTGGGGCCTTGGGCCTTCTTTTGAATGTTCTGGGTCTCTCTGACCCAGCTGCAGTTTGTTAGGTAATTTTAGATTGCAAAGGGCCAGGCCTTTCATATGCAAAGGCCTCTGCTCACAGCTTGGGTCGGGGGGAGGGGGGGTGTCGCAGAGACTAAACAGGGTGGAGCAAGCAGCTATGGCTGCTCCTCAGTCCTATCCTAAGAGGCCCCGCATCTCAGTGTCCCGGTAATCGCTGCAAGCACCTCTGAGAGAAAGCCGCCCTTGAGTTCCTACCGATGCCAAACAGTCTAGTTTCTCCCCATATGAGTCTGGGTCCCCAGAGACTCACCTGGAACTGGAGTTCAGAGCTCTCGGGAGTTGAGACTCCCTCCTGATTGAAAAAGACAGCTGCGTCCTCAGTTGCCAGCCTTTTCCATGTGCGCCTCCGTACCTTTGCACTTTACTTCCGCACCTCCTCTGAGTCTCAGTGTGCTTTTCTCTTTCCTTCTAGTTATAGAATTTCCACTCAGCCAGCCTTCCTGTGGTTCTGGATGATGTCCGATTTGTCTTTTAGTTGTATTGTTGATAGATGTGTATACCTTTCTGGGAGGCAGCAATTCCAGTTTTTACCTATGCTGCCATCTTGGTTTCTCTACTGTATCGGTATCTTAATTTTTTTGGTGCAATGGTAAATGGAATTTTTTAAAAATTTTTCTTTCTGTGAGGTCATTATTGGTGTATAAAAAAGCCAAAGCCTTTTGGGTGGTAATTTTGTATCCTGTTACATTGCTGAATTTATTTATTAAGTCTAGAATTTTTTTTGATGGAGTCTTTAGGGTTTTCTTTGTACAATATCATGTCATCTGCAAATAATGATAATTTTACTTCTTCTTTCCCAATTTGGATGCCTTTTATTTCTTCTTCTTGTCTGATTTCCTTGGCTAGTACCTCCAGTACTATGTTTAACAGGAATGGTGAGAGTGGGCATCCCTGTGTTGTTCCTATTCTTAGGGGAAATGGTTTTAGTTTTTGCCCATTGAAAATGATGTTGGCTGTAGGTTTGTCATATGTGGCTTTTATTATGTTGAGGTATGATCTTTCTATTCCCATCTTGCTGAGAGTTTTTATCAGGAAAGGGTGTTGGATTTTGTCAAATGCTTTTTCTGCATAAATGGATATGAATATATGGTTTTAAATCTCTCAATTTGTTTATTTGGTGTATCACATTTATGGATTTGTGGATAGTGTACCATCCTTGCATCTCTAGAATAAATCCCACTTGGTCATGGTTTATGATCTTTCTAATGTAATGCTGGATTGGATTTGCTAGAATTTTGTTGAGAATTTTGGTGTCTAAGATCATGAGGCATATTGGCCTGTAATTCTTTTCCTTTGTATTGTCTTTATCTGCTTTTGGGATTAGGCTAATGCTGGCTTCATAGAAAGAGCTTGAAAGTATTCCTTCCTCTTGAATTTTTTTGGAATAGTCTGAGGAAGATAGGTTTTATTTCTTCTTTGAATGTTTGATAAAACTCCCCTGTGAAGCTGTGTGGTCCAGGGCTTTTGTTTGTTGGAAGTTTTTTGATTACTGCTTCAATTCCCTCCATAGTTATCAGCCTATTAAGATTTTTTATTCTTTCTGGTTGAGTTTTGGAAGATCATATTTTTCTAGAAATATGTCCATTGCTTCTAGGTTGACCAGTTTGTTGGAATTGAGTTGTTCATAGTGTTTTTTTAAATGATTCTTTGTATTTCTGTGGGGCCTGTTGTTATTTCGCCTCTTTCATTTCTGATTTTGTTTATGCTTGAACTTGAAGAGAGTCCGTGTGCATGCACCGATAATCAGGGTCCCCAAGTGCGCACCAGGAATCAGAGTCCCGTGTCCGCATGTTGAGAATCAAGAATCAGAGTCTTTGGTGCTCGGTGCAGCCTTGAGCATGAGGAGAAACAGAGTCCCCATGAGAATCAAAGTCACTGGTCTGCTAGGGAGGCAAGGTTGTTTTTGTTTCTAAATATTAGATCAAATTGCTATGCCTCCAAGATTTTGTGGGGTGGTCTTATGTACCAGGTGTTTTGTAATGGTGCAGTTTATTAGATCTCCTGACCTGGGTGCTCTAGGAGAGCCCTTCATTTAACTTTTTGGGATTCTCCTATTGTATTTGGGTCTTAAATGTTATTGTCCCATTCATGAACAGAATCTCCTCTCAGGCTGGCTGATTATGTGGCTCACCCACAACCACATCATGCGAGCTGTTGCAAAGGGGCTGATGAGACAGAACAAAATAAAACAAAACATGAAATAGACGGAACAAAACAAAAACATACACAAAACCCCTACAACACCAACAAAAGGAACCACCAGAGAAGAGAGAATTAAGAAAGAGAGAAGAGAGCAAGAATGATAGTAAAAAAGAAAAAATATATGAGGAGAAAATGAAGCAAAACAAACAAACAATGCAGAAGCAAAAAGGAACAAGAAAATGGGGGCAGGATATGTAGATGCAGAGATGAAATAAAGAAAATTAGAATAAAGTATTAGAGAAATAGAAGAAGGAAAACAGTTTGAAATAAAAGAGTGAGAAAAGAAATGACAAGACAAGAAAAAAATTTGAAAAGGAAAATAGAGAACATAGAACTAAAATAAAAAGAAGAAAAAAGATGAGAAAGCAGGAGAAAAATAAAAACGAAAAAAATTCAGTGAAAAAAAATTGAGTAGGAAATGAGAAGAAGGAAATTAAACATATGAATGAAACAACAGAGACTAGAATAATAAGAAATCAATAAAGCAGATAGATAAAGAAGATACATTTTAAAAGAGAAAAAAGAAACAAAAATCTCAAAAAAGAAGAGAAGAAAAAAGGGAAGGAAAAAGAGAAAAGAAAAAAAAGGAGGAAAAAAGTTCATTTCAGCCAACTTTAATGCCCTATGGGACCTTGCTTTGGATCCCACTCTTCTGTTCTGTCTGTCAATTCTGGGCTTCTTGTTGGGTACCACAAGAGGAAACAAAGGCAGAGGCCAAACTTATGGTGTAAATAGTCTCAAGGAGCCCTAAGATTGGGCCACTCTCCCAATCTAGTCCCTTAGGGCTCCTTGAGACTATTTACACCATAAGTTTGGCCTCTGCCTTTGTTTCCTCTGAAAAGCTCAACCACTGTGAGGCACTGTCTTTTGGCTTTTGGCAACCTGCTTGAAGCTTCAAGCGATACACTGATCCACCACTTGTGTCTGTCTCCACAGGCCTTAGCTGGAGAAGGAAGAACCAATCTGCTCTCTAAAGTAGGTTTGTTAGCAGCAACGGGCCCAGGGCAGGGTGTTGAAGTAATATAGAGAAATGTTTAAAAATGCTTTGAGGATTCCTGAAAAATGTCTAAGAAGGTTTTAAAATGTTTAAATTAACTTTCCTTGAAACTTAAAGCGTGGTATTAAGAACACATTCCCCACTGCCCTGAAGCGTGTGTCCCTCAGAGATAAGGATTTGAACTTCAGTAAATAACTCAGAGTGACTTGTCAAAATAACCAGCTGAGTGAGTGATGTACTCTCCCTAGATAACCATATGTAGCCCCTCGCCCTGTTTGAGATAAACATGTGTGCACTGACATAATTCATTGATAGCCACCTGGACTGCTGCAAATGGGTACAGGTTTTAAAAGTGGGGGTCCTGACCAGCCTGGTGCTTGCCTGTCGAGACAGCCACCAAGGCACATCCTCTTGTCAGTCCGGCAAGCGACGCCGCTCCTCGCTCTTCTCTCTGCCAGACAACAGAAGAACGGTCAGTACCTCCCTATTGAGATGCGCCCGAGCTCTTGGGTGAGGAACACTGGCCCCCTGTATCCGGATCAGACCAGCCTAGCTGCTGGACCCCTGAGGACAGCACCACTGGGATCCCACTTAAGCCTGTACCCACAGCACCAGGAATTGTGTGAGTAATAAAGTGCCGTGTGATTTGTAACTGCATATGTTTCATGTGGTGTAATTCCTCTAGTAGTTAATTGAATTATTTTGTGTACACTTAAAAGTTAAATTAAAGCTTCTGGTCTTTTTGGTCCTAAGCCTGCCCTTCGGTCCTGCTTGTGTAGAGTAGCCTCTTCGCTAGCAACTACTTAAATGTCCCACACCTGCACGGTTAAAATTTATCTCAAGGGACGCCTTAGATAAATACCCCAGATCCTTTCCCAGGATCTACTTGGGACACAGGGCCAGCAAACTTCCCCTGGTTTCCCAAGTTCGACCTCTGCCTGCCTTTGCCTGCTAGCTAGCTGTCAATCTTAATCACTCAATAGTCTGTTTCTTAAAGAGCATTAGGTGGGGCAGATGCCATTTAGCTTTCAGAGAACATGGTCGGTGTGTTTCCCTGTACCAGAGATACTCCTCCACCAATGGCCCAAAATATTACTCTGCTGGACAGAGATCCTTATATGGAGACCAGTGGGGTAGGCTGGAAACCTGCAGTTTTTATCAGTTTCCCATGTGCGGGGGGAAATATCAGTCTGGTTCCCGGGATTTTGGGGTGGATGGCCACTCTCCCAATCTAGTCCCTTAGGGCTCCTTGAGACTATTTACACCATAAGTTTGGCCTCTGCCTTTGTTTCCTCTGAAAAGCTCAAAATGCAGGGTGTGGCATGCAGGGTACCTGAGGTGGGGGGTGGGGTGGAATGTATTCACGAATGTATTCATGATTCTAATAAGCCCCAATAAAGGTGACCACCAGAGAAAAGAGAATTAGGGCAGAGAAAAGAAAGCAAAAATGATATTGAGAAAAGGAAAAAAGGTAAGAGAGAAAAGAAAAAGAAGAAAAAAGAAGGGGAGAAAAATATATGTGTATGGGGAGAAAACTCCAAAAAACCAACAATTAATTTAAAAAATGCAAACAACAAGCACCCAGAAAAGAAGGAGGGAAGCTGAATCTAAAGAGTTCGAGCTTATTTCCAGAAGGTAAGGTAAAGGAATTGAATGAATGGGGAAATGGCCACGATTCAGTATAGAGGAGGTAGAAAGAGAATGAATGTATAAGAAGAAAAGTAAAAAATAAAATACTCAAAAATAGTAGAAAATAATAATTGAAAAAAATTACAATTAAAAAAATATATAAATTTTCTCCTTTAACCTTTCTATCTATGCATTCATCTGTTTTTGGAAAAGGAGAATATAGAGCAGATAGGCCTGAATTGGTGATTGAAACTAATTAAGCTATTAGTAGAAGAAGAGAAGAAGCAAGGAGAGGAAAAACAAAAACATAACAAACTAACAAAATTAACAATCAAACAAACAACAACAAGAAAGAAAAAAATTGGGGTAGCAAAGAAAGACAAAAGAGAAGTGTTCATGGACTTGGAGCAGAGGAGAGGAAATTAGATATATGTGTAGGCCAACAGAGACTACTTTAATAGTAATGCATCAATAAAGCAGATAAAGAAGATCAATTTTTAACAAGGAGTAAAAAGAAAGGCTAGAGAAAAACTAAAGCAGGAACAGGAGAAGAGAAACAGGATGAAAAGGGAAAAGTGAGGAAGAAAGTGTTGGCATAAAAAAAAATGAGATAGAGTAAAATAATGATTAAAAAATAAAAATAGAATGAAGAACACTAATCCAAAAAAAATAAAAAAGTGAAGTTCGTTTGCTTCAGTGGAGCTTTAATGCCACACGGGGGCTGGTTTAAAACCCCTCTCTACTGTTCTGCCTGCCACGTCTCAGTTTCCTATCAGGTAGTCAGAAGTGCTGAAGTTCCCAGCGATCCACCGCTTCTCTGTGTCATATGCCACAGCCTTGGCTTCCGGCAGGTGGGATCAATCTGCCCACTTTGTTTTCCTGCCTGCTTTCAGTCCTATTTACACAGCGTCTATTTCTGACATGGCCCCTTGGTAGCGGTTTTGCTGTATTAGTTTCCAGGACCAAATGGCCCCTCAACCCAGTCCCTGAGGGCTTCCTCGGGGTATTTAGAATCTTCCTTTCCCTGCAGTGCTCAAGACTGGGTGCAGTTGTGCTGCTAGGAGGAGCCTGGTCTTCAGGAGAAAAATGTCTGTTCAGGATTGGAGGGACAGACTGTCCCAGAGTTGGCTTCCTGATCATCTCTCCCTCTTCTGCTCCCCAGTTTCCACAAAAGCCACCTTCCCCTCCAGTCTCGGTGAGTGTTTTTAATTGAAAGATCCTATGCACTGAGTTTAGCAAGTAAAAGCAAGGAAAATATAAAGACAGAGCAACCATGCTACCTCGTGTCTTTCTCTCCCCGCCCCCTGGCACTGCGCCTGGGCAGTGTAGAACTTCAGGCTGCCTTTCTGGGCACAGCCTCCCACGGCTGTGGGCTTAGATCTAGAGTCCCCCGCTGCCAGCAGCCCTGTGGATCCCCTTCCACATTCGAAGGCTACACTGACCCCAAGGGACGCGGATTTGGTGCAGGACAGTCTCCCTTTGATTCTCTAGTCCCGGCTGCATGCGTTCCTCCCGTCAGCCCAGATTCCCAACCCCCCCTTTCTCCAGGTGATCTCTGACCTTTCTGTCCACAGATTGCCTTACCAGCTGTTTAATTCACCAATTCCAGGTGGATGTTATTCGATTCAGCTGTTCCTTCTACCTTCTCTGTGAGAGGTGCAGGGCCCCTCTGCGTATTCAGCGCCATTTTGTCTCCCGCTGGACAAACTTTTTAGGTGCCCACAGCCGGGGAGGTTGGGGTCTCGGTGTTTGTGGGTTCACAGCCAAGGCAGCTGGTCCCTCGATGTTGTGGCTGTAGGGTCCCAGGTGGTATCCGAGGTCACCCCAGGTGAAGATAAGGCTGGGCTTCCAATCACAGCTGCTCTCCCCTTCAAGATGGTGTGGTCTCTGTGGCCAACACTTGATCTTAACCCCATCACTTCTTTTAGCTATGTCTGCCTCCAGTACAGAGATGAACTTTCTCCTCCTAAAGTCTTTAGCAACCTCATTGGAAGATTCAATGGTTATTCTTCACAGCTCATTTACTTTTCTTGTTAACCGTTGTTAAGATAATATTTAGTTATTGAAAATCTTATTCTTTTCCTATATCTATGCCACGTTCCCCAGTTTTCCCCCCTGGTTCTTTTTTCCTTTATAGACACTTTACACTAAGGAATATTAATGGAATTATGCAGCCATCAAAAAGCATCATTATAAAAGACTGTGTTAAGATGAAGAAATGTTCAAAATAATAGATATGCTGCTGTTGGTCTTAGGAGGATTTATGGTCACACGTTCAAAGATAATAGAATTTTACCCTAGACTATAGGAACGTCCACACTCACATCCAACAATCCCCAAAGGAAATAGACTATAGGAGACACTAGCAAATAAGAATTAAAGTACCACTTGCTATCAATACTCTGGAAAGCTGGGATTCAGGTCTAAAGACTTTATCTTTCAAGCATAAATATACTCTTACCTCTGTAGGAACACATCAGATAGGTATGCTCAGTTCTCTGCCTATGATTTCAACAGCAAAGTGGCAGCATAAGAGATGAGATCTTCCCTGAGTTGTGCTGGAGCAGGCTCATTCTGGCTTTAAGGAGCTGATTCTGAGCATCCCTTCCCAACTCAGCATTCAGTGAACTCAAGTTGGTAGCTTGCAATCAGCCATGGTGGGAGTATTTACACCATAGTAATTGGCAAACACTACAAAGTATGGCTCTCCATCCCCATCTCTTGCCCAAAGCTCAATGTTGACTATTTATCAGCACACCAGTAGGAAAAGGCAGAAAGCAATCTTACTGTATTGGCCCTGATTATGTGCCCGACTCTGTTTCATTATGGGAAGAGAGAGTGATGTCTGGGCTTGAATCTGCAATAACAAATATGATAATGATGATGATAAATACCCATTGAGAACTTCTAGGTACTGTGCATGCTTCACTATACTAAGTGCTTCCCATGCATAACTTTAAGTTATACTCAAATGACTTTATGGGATAAGGACTATCATCACCTCTGTTTTATATGTGAGGAAACTAAGGATCAGAGCAATTAAGTAATTTATTTAATGTTATACTGCTGGTGAACAGAATATTCAGATTCCAATCCAGGCAAGGCCTCTCTAGAGTCTCAGCTCTGACCTCCCTGATAGCCCCTTCCTGGGAAAAGTGGGAAAAGAGGTGGAAAGTTTCATTTCCAACTAGCAGTTGACAGCATGTATTACTATTTTAGAAACATTAATATTTAAAAACATGCAGCCCTGTATATTATGATAAAATTTTTAAAAAGACTTTCCAAATTGAAAAATAATACTATGTATTTTAATGGACATTTTATATGTGTGGTAAAAATGTAAAAAACATACATGGAGATAATGTGGGTACATGGCTACTTTTTATTTACTACTTTTTTGTGTACTTAAACTGTTTTATAATAAAATTTAATATAATTCTGTATAAGGTAATTAGACTGGTAAGTGAGATTATAAGTTGTTCTAATCATTTCTTTAAAAATTTTTAATATTATCATTGTATTGTCTTTTCAATTAAAATTTTTATTAAAAAATTAGTGCATGCAAAAACTGGTAAAACCTGAATAATGTCTGTAGTCTACTTAGTTGTATTGTGCCAATATCTCCTGGTTTTAATAATGTCCCACAGTTATATAAAGATATCATCATTGAAAGCACTGAGAGATGCAGTGGATTATTATTTTTAATGGATTAATAGATAAATGTTATTTTTATTTATTATTCTCAAACAGAGAATCTTTGTTTTAACAGAACCTTCTTTTAACCCCCATGTACTATTAGATGCTTTCCCTTTATGTTGTCATCTATCCATCACAGTACTTACTAAATTGTAGGTTATAATTATAAAGTACTATATAATTTTAAAAATGCTATTCTTCTTTTCCAGAAAACTTGGAAAGGCTATAAACTTTTTTCTATATTTAAAAATGTAGAAGGTTCCAAAATGGTGGCTAAATAAGTGGATGCTACATTGACATGCTCCATGACCAAACTGGAGTTACAACTAAAATTTAAAAAGATCATCCTGAATAATCAACTGAAGACTTGCTAGAGAGACTCCTGATAACCAAGGATGGAAAGTGGAGACCACATAGAGACAAGTAGGAAGGGTGAAGGCGTGAAAGGGCTGACCAAGCTCCCACAGACAGCAGCAGAAGTCCTGGAGTGATATTTCAGCTGGGGGGGTGGGGGCAGGGAGGCTCCCACTGAGAACTCTGGGGTCTAAACCCCAAGTTGGGCTACCCAGCCCAGAGCACTAGAACTGTGAAAGGTGCCCACATAACATCTGGCTGTGAAAAGTGGCAGGGTGGCTGTCTGCCAGCCAGAGACAGTTGGAAATGCAGGCACCCTCTAGAGCGGATTGGAACCATTTGAGCAGAAGCCAGTGTTGGGTACTCTGGGGTAAGACCTCAGAAGGCAGACATTCCAGTTTCCTGTACCAAGTCATTCCCTCATGCTGAAGAGGACATCTTTCTCAAGTGGACCTTTGCTATCCAGGCAGTTTTTACCTGGGAGGGAAGGCAGTTTCCCCACCCCATTGAAAAACCCCTTGCCCCACTCTGAGGCCCAATAAGAAGCTAAAAATAACAATAAGCCTGCAGGCAGAATCAATTACCCCACCCTATTGGAAAACATCTCACCCAACCTGTGGCCCATAGCCTGAGGCTAATTAAGACTGAATACAAACAGACTGCAGGCAGAGGCAGGTCTCTGGAGGATTTGAGTCTTTTCCGGGTCTAATTTGGGACCTGGAACTAGGAAAAGCAGACTTTGGTGCACATCTTCGTCCTTCCAAAGGTAATCAGCCCTAGCAGAGAGAGATCCAAGATTGCTGATAGCTACAAACATGGTATGCAGGGCCAGTCAGAAACAGCATCTAACACTGTTCTACACTAGAGATTGGGAGGCATAGCAGACCTACCTAATACATAGTCACAAACCCAAATAGGCAGCAAAAATGGGGAAACAAAAAAACAACCCCCAAACAAAAGAACAAAAGAATTATTCAGAAGAAAAGCTAAATGAAATGGACATAAGAAACTTATCAGACACAGAGTTCAGAATAATGATGGTAAGGATGCTCAACAAATGAGAAAATATATACTAATTATGAAGAATGACATAACACTAATAAAGAACACAGTGGAATGAATACACAGAAGACTAAGGGAATCCGGATATTAGATAAGTGAATTAGAAGACAGGGTAGAAGAAATCACTCAATCAGAGAACCAAAAAAAACACCAAACAAATAAGTACAGATTAAAGGAGCTGTGAGACAACATGAAAAGTAAGAATATTCTCATAATAGGAGTCCCAGAAGGTGAAGAAAGTGAGCAAGGGATAAAGAATGTGTTTGATGAAAAAATGGCAGAAAACTTCCCTAACATGGTGAAGGAAAAAGTCACACAAGTTCAGGAGGTACAGAGGGTTCCAAGCAAGTAGAACCCAAACAGGCCCATGCCCAGACACATCATAATTAAAATGCCAAACATTAAAGCCAAAGAGAGAATCTTAAAAGCAGCAAGAGAAAAGCAAGTTGTTACCAAAAAAGGAGCTCCCATTAGGCTGTCAGCTGATTTCTCATCAGAAACTCTACAGGCCAGAAGGGAATTGCATGAAGTATTCAAGGTAATGAAAAACATCTTTCCAA